AACAATTATAACTCATCTCAAAATGCAGACACAAGAACAAATTTTTACTTCATTACTTAAAAATTGAAAAGTGAAAACAAAAAAGGATAAAGGATAATAAATAAATAAAATAAAAATAAATAAAAAAACAAGTAAAATTAATCCAAACAAATAAATAAGTAAATAAACTAAGTAAATAACAAACAAATTAATAAACCATACCTATCAAAATAACCATTAAAATAATACAATAGGCTACCCACAAAGCATCATGACTTGTATATATAAAAAGTCAAGCAAAAAAAAAATATAACTCATAAGGATATTTATTACTACTTTCTCAAATTCTAATGCACTTTCTTTACACATGGATTTGTTTCACATTCTGACGATGCCTGCTATAAAGAATCAAAACATGACAACTTTTTCCATGCTTTGTCTTATTAACTGCACTTTATACTATGTTATTATATAGGTAATAATTTATTTATAATACGTTAGAAACTCTGCAGGTTCTTAAGATTTTTACCTGTTATCCAAACTGTCTTCACTGCCAACTTGATGTTGTGCTTCCTGCTTAGAAAATTTCTTCTTGGAATTATCAGGTGTGCCAGCACTTGAGGGTCGTACAGTCTCACTAAGGGTTCGACAAGGTACATTGCGACCCTTCATATGTCTGGGGTGGGTCCTGTCAAAAATTTTCCCATCACTATCATCCATGGAATCACAGGTCCCTTCCACACTTCGACCATGATAGCTGAAACTTTGGCTACGCTTCACAAGTCGTTTCTTACCAATGTCAGGTAATAAGTCCTTCAAGATAGAAGTCTTGTCCACAATACTGATTCCTCGTGAAGATACAGCTTCCAGGAGGGGGACTGGGCTCTCTGGGCTTGGCGGAATACCTGAATAGTGATTATCATGACACCGACTTGACAGGTAAGAATCATCTCTGTTGATGTGGTGCATATCTTCTGGGTCATAGATTTCATCCTGAAGAATAGAAATATTGTTATTATTACTTTATTATTATATTATGTGTACACAAAAATTTTATATATATAATTTTATATATATATTGTATTCATTTTCAATTTTTCTAGTTGAATTATTGTACATAATTAGGTTACAATAACATTTGTATTTTATAGGAATATTACCTTATGTAAATTTAGATATACTAGAGTTGGGGGCCCCATATCATAGATTCAGGTGGGGGTCCATGAGACCCTTGCACTGGCCCTGGTAGACAGACCCAGTGGAAACAGAGAAAGCAATAACTGAGCAGTACTAAAAAGAGAACAAAACAAGATAACACTAGACATGAACAGTGGAATGAGAACAACCTACCCCACTGATTAAATAAAGGGTTCAGTTTGAATTTTGGGTCAGTTGGTGTTGATGATTTTACCCAGTCTTCAGTCTAGGAACTGTGTGTAATATCTGTTCTTCTCTGTGCCATATTTCTGTCTTTAGACAGTTCATGGAAAAGCTTTGACGGATACCTGTTCCTGGGCATTCCAACCCTGCAGTAACGACTCCCTCATTGCACTAAAAAAGGAGGATTGGTAGATACCAATGTCAGCATGAAAGTGATCATGGGGAATGGCAAATTTTTGACCTTCGTCCATATGTACAAGTATGGGCACCCACAATAAAAACGACTTCATATCACATCCTGCCACTGTGATAAATACCAATTCTCTGGAGGTTATCTAGATCAACAGAGACCTGAAGATGGCTGGAGAGCATAATGGTCGAAACATGAAGGCATGAGTATTAATGTAAATATATTAAAGTATATTTAGAAAAATTATTACAAGTCACTTCATTTACTTTTTATTTTTATTTTTTTAAATCCTTTCACCTTAAGAAAGGTAATAATACCACTAAGACGTAGGTGATTACAGAGTGAAAGAAAGGACAATAAAAGAACAGGATTCAGAAAGACAGAAGATGGTGTTTGATGTTGCATTTAAATTTTTGAAGACTGTAGGTGGCAGGGAAGCAAGAAATTGGAAGAGAGTTCCACAAGCAAGAAGTGCAAGAAAAGAAACAGAGTAAAACAGACAGTTGCATCTTGCTAGTTCAACAGTAAAATGGTGAGACCTAGTTGCCAAACAAGTAGCATGCTTAAATTCATGTAGTCAAGGCAATAAGGAGAAAAGCACATCAGAACTGTTGCCATGGAAATATTTGTAGAAAAGACAAAGAGAAGACATGTCACATTGGTAAGAAAGTGACTGAAGTTGAGATGTCAGGTCAGGATTGATTAGATTACAGCCCTTTCTTTGGATTTTGCAAGAATCATGATGTAAGTCTTTAAGTGAAGTGGAAAGAATGATTTTATAATTTAAATCTGTAAGAACTTCTACTTCCAGATTTTATTACCTCTTGTATTCCTTTCAAGTACAAATCTCAATGTAAGCAAATTTATACTCAGTTTTGCTCCAATGTTTTAAATAAAAGCAAATTTATACTCAGTTTTGCTCCAATGTTTTGAATAAAAGCAAATTTATACTCAGTTTTGCTCCAATGTTTTAAATAAAAGCAAATTTATACTCAGTTTTGCTCCAATGTTTTGAATAAAAGCAAACGTTAATCTTTAATTTGAAAAAAAAATATTTTTCTCTACGTATCACAAAATCTTTTCTCCCAAGATATTGTAAAATATCAATTCAAAGTCTTGATGCCGAGCAAAGAATGACAAAGTTGAACAATATTTTTCATAAAATAAACAGATTTTTGAGAAATTAACATTAAAAGTATTGATTTATAAATGAATAAGACTTTTAAAATGTAATATGTTTTTTCCATTATTAAGATCAATGAATTATTTTGTTTTGTCCTCAAATTAAAAAGAGTGAGGCGTATGGTGTGTGTCGTCAGTGGTAGTACCTTTGCAGCAAAGCAGTCAACCCGCCTTTACTCAGGTGAATTGGGATGCAGAACTGTACAGGCCCACACCCTACATCCAATTCTCACACATGGCTCCAAGGTCCACGACCTGCATCCAATTCTCACACATGGCTCCAAGGTCCACAACCTACATCCAATTCTCACACATGGCACCAAAGTTCACAGCCTGCATGCAATTCTCATACATGGGCACTGCTTCAGCTACACAACAGTCAATGGCATTGACCTGCCAGTTAAACTGTATGTGGGTAGTGAGAAGGATTTCCCCAACCTGGCCATTGCACTATTTTGCCTTGAATATCATCATGAATCGCAATTATGGGGGTGGTAACCACAGCAGCACAAAAGGTGCTAACTGAATAAATAATGATGTTAAAAAGAGTTAACATATAACTTCAAACTACAGTAACCATGAGACTTGGCCATTACCAGAAAACAGAAATTAATGTAGGAAATAGAAGAATAATTTATTTGTAATTTACATAATATAAATATTATGATTATATATATATATATATATATATATATATATATATATATATATATATATATATGTAAGCAAATGTAAATGGATATAGATCCGACAGAATGAAGAAAAATTTGGAAAAAACAAACAAAAAATCCTTAAATGCAATTATGTTGTTTAAAATGAATGAAATGTCGATGTCTGACGTTTCGGTTTAATAAACCTTTTTCAAGACATTATTCATTAAAATACAATTCAGTTTAATTTGACAAAGACGATGGACATAAACAACAAGTCTTATCCAAAACAGATAACTGAAAATTTTTAAAATGATCAGCTTTCCGTTTAGCATGGTCACGTTGTCGTCACATGGGTGACGGGTGTATTCAAAAAAAATTTTTTTATATATATATATAAAATATATTTATATATATATATATAATTGGAGCCATGGTGGAGTAGTGGGTAGCGGCTTGGATTGAGGAATCAGAGAGCCGAGTCCAAATTCCAGTCGAATCCATTATATTCACTTACGTGCTAATATGCGTTTTGCTATAAAAATCTATTGTTCGCCATTATTATAAGAATGTACTGCTAACTTTTGTTTGGGGGTTCACTATTTGCCCATAGCTGGGACCCTAACAGGTGCTACCACCCCATGTCAGGGTGGACCTGGGAACAACAGCAATTAAGAGGTGGTTCTATGCTCCTCAAAACACCCAATCTCCCACTCAGAGGTCTTGCTGTCAGATGTAGTTTATTGTCATACTCAGAACAACATTCTGAAAGTACATGCCACATAAAAGAAAAAAACTGATACTTGATTAATGAAACCAAAACTTACATCAAGTTCATCTTCTTTGTTCTTTTTCATACGATATACCCGAAGTGTAATGATGTAGGCAATAGCACAGATGAGAGCAGCAATAAGGTTGTTTGCGCACAACACATACAGCATTTTGGGAAGCAAAGTCTTAATTTCACAGTTGCTGCTTCCATAGAATGGCAACTTAAACAATTCTGAAATACAAAAAAGAAACCATGATTATATATAAAACAAAAACAATGTTTGTGAGGTTTACATTTCGATTCAAGCCTTTTCCATAGGCATTAGAGCAAAAGTGATCAAAAAATGGCGTATTGCTACCATATCTAGTCTTGAACTGCCCAATCCTCACTTTCAAACTGAACCCTTTATTTAATCTACAGGGGTAGACTGTTCTCATTCTGCTATCTACATCTAAAGTATCTAGTTCTTATATAGTATGGTTCAGTTATTGCTTGCCATGTTTTCAATGAGTTTATGTATCACAGAGCAGTTTATGACTAAAAAGTGAGTTCGATCCTCATTGGGTGCCCCTTAATTTCAGTCTTGTGCCCATCTAAAAAATGGAAAATACAATGTATAACAGAGCAAGAGACTTAACTCACAATTACTGTTACCCAATTCAGAAATCAATACTTTAATCAGTAGGCTACAATAGCTGAGTGGCTTAAAGCACTTGTTTGTGAATTTGGTTTGCGACAAAAATAAGGTTAATAGTCCAAATAAAAATAGTGTAAATAATCCTTGTCATTGTTCAATTCTTTCCTCTGGGACAATAAGATTTAGGCACAGCACACAATCCAGACCCCAATGTAGTCATCACAAATAAAGAGAAAAACATTGTTAGATAAGAGATTTCACTCTTTGAGCAGACCAGAGAATAAAACTGAAAGAAAGTGAAAAGACAAACCAATATCTTAATCTTGCAAGTGAACTGACAACAAAAATGATAATACAACAAAGATGAGGATAATAGTCCAAGGGTAAATAAAGGCAATTCCTCATATGACAGAAATTATCTTGTTTTCAGCATATTAAAATATTTGTAAAATACATATTTCAATAAGCCCATGAAGTGCTATAGATTACAAAGAATATCTAGTGGATTAACGTGTTGGTTTATGAATTTGGTGACATAGACTGTGAGTTCAATCCCTGGGTTAGGCAATGTGTACTTGCACTCAGTGGAAACAGGCAAGAAATAACTGAACAATACTAAATAAAAGTAAGAACTAGACAATATCCCTAGATTTGAGCCATGAAACAAAAACAATCTAACCCCATTGATTAAATAAAAGGTTAAGTTCAGCATTCCCTGTAGCTTATCCAAACTGATATATACCTGTGGAAAGTCAGAGGGTAGAATAGTCAAAATGTTGTGAAAACAACAAAGATGAGGATAATAGCACTAAAAAAAATATGTAATCATTGTCATTATTCAATTCTTTACTTTCTAGGAACAACAAAACATATGGTTATGTGGATTTGTCGTTTGCAAAGAAAATTCTCTAGAACAATAAGATTCAGGCACATTACACAATCCAGACCCCAATATAGTCATCATAAATAAAGAGATAAACATTTGTTGTTAGACAAGAGATTTCACTCTTTGAGCAAACCAGAGAATAAAACTGAAGGAAAGTGAAAAGGCAAACTATTTGCAAGTGAACTAATAAAAAAAATGTAGAATTTGAAGGCAACAGTTTTCCAATCATTGTTGGAGTACTTGGAACATTCCCAAAGAGCCTAGCAAAACAGCTGGGTAAAATGGAAATCAAAAAAAATAGATTATATATATATATATATATATATATATATATATATATATATATATATATATATATATATATATACAGTAGCGTCCAAAACTAAGGGACTAAATTTTAAAACTTAATATTTGTTAGAAATAACAATTGTGAAAAGCTGAAATTTTGACAACTGGTAGTCGTTATCATCCATAATAACATACTAAAATTTGAATCATTTGCAAAGGATAGAAAAAGAATTATAACAATTATTTATTTATTTTCAAAATAGGATCGTCCAAAAGTAAGAGACAAAATTGAGAAAAACAATGTAAACAGTATGCTATATTCAAATTTTTTGATTTCCTCTAAAGAATAAGTCTTACTTAGTCATTTGTAAACGTTGCATCAGCCGGCACCATGGCGAAACACCAAAAACTTGATTACTCTGTGAGACAAGCTATTGTGAAGCTACACAAGGAAAAGCACACCATTAGAGAGATTTCAGAGAAAGTGAACGTTCCAAGAGTGTTGTAGGCAGGGTTGTTAAATCCTACAATGATACTGGCAAAATAGTTAGTGTTTTTAAAACCGTCAGAGCCCGCAAAACTAGACTCAATGAATTACTTTTTTATATATATATATATATATATATATATATATATATATATATATACACACACACATCAGTATCACTGAAAATACTTAGAATACAAAGGACAGTGTGAAAGCATTAAGAAGATATGATGTTGCTTGATCTTCAGAGTAAAACCACCAGTTCTCATGTGAACAAACAATACGTGAAATAATAAAGCCAAGATGTAAGTAGGAAAAAAGAAAAAGTGAAAATAACTCAAATTCCTTAGTCTTTGAAAATGGCTTTTATAGTTGAAATTTTTCACCATTTTATATTTGTAGGTTGAACCCCCAAACACCCCCTTTTTTCTTTCTTTTTTTTTCTTTCTTTTTTTTTATAGAAATAAGAGTTTGAAATGATATTTAAACAACAGTGTTCTTTGTCATTTTAAAGCCTTTCTATAAAATATCTGCAGTTTCACTGGCATTCACAAAGCCACACCCTGCCCAACCCAAAAGGAAGAAGGAGGAGAGATAGAAGAAGAAGGAAGAGGAGGAGAAATAGAAGAAGAAAGAAGAGGAGGAGAAATAGAAGAAGAAGAAGAAGATGTCTGGGAAACAACAAGAAATTCAGACATGCCATCCTGGACAAGTCTTTTTTTTATTTTTGTTGTTTTTTTTTGTGAAAACAGTAGAAAGTTATGAGGATACAAATCATCAGGGGCATGTCCCCATGTATTTGTGACTGCACAGATTTACAACAACAGCTGCACTCACTTTTTCAACCCACAAAGAATTATTTACAGAAGTATCATATTACGTTGCCGCTGAAGAGGCACATTATTAAAAAGAAAAAAATAATCATTAAATGTTGAGACCAAACTAAAAAGTATTTTATTTAATGGCAGGGAAAACTCCCCACTCACCCTCTAACTTTTAATTTTTACAATATTACAGATTTAGTCAACATTTAGTCCATGGTATCCTCAGCATCCCTCTGTAGAACCACAGTAACAGAAACATGGTTATACAGAAGGATACTGAGAATACCATGGACAGAACAAGTGAGTTTTAGAGAAAATTAAAACAAAAAGGAAACCTATACATAACATCAGGAAAGAGACAGTTGAAATTTCAAAGGCAAGTAATGTTGAAAGAGGGCTCGGAAAATCTGATACTCACAGGACATATTGAAGGTAAGTGAGACAAAGGAAAACAATGCATAACCTACTTAGTCAGCATGAGTAAATGAATAGCAAAACAAGGTTCAGAAGAAATGACAGAAAGACAAAATTTATTAAGAGCTTAGAGAAACAGGAAGTAGTGGAGAACCATGATCGCCAACGTCCTGAGATGACATGGTAGAAGAATAATACGGATAGTCAATAGCAAAATACTATGAAAATGAGTAAACATTAGCCTCAAGATACCACCATTTCACAAACCTCTCTCTCATCATAAAGCAAGAGAGAAGGTTTTTATGCCATTTTAAATCTTCCATTAATATTAAAATCCACTTAACAAGAATATTTTTTTAAGAAATATTATCCATGAACTTTGCAGATTTTATTTTAAATAAAATAGAACTATTAACATAAAATTATAGATGCTACACTTTGATCTTAGGCATTGTTATAAAATAAAATATGACATATCTCGGCTGATTTCCAGGCAAATACTCAAGAGCGAGAACCGGATGTGAACGGGACAAAGCCCTGTCACAAAATGACCATTATTTTTCTTCACAAATGTTCCCGACGCGACGCACGTGTTCTGGTCGAAAAATAAAATAATATTTAAAGTGCTCTATTTTTCGTCCAATAAAAATGCTTCCCTCCTAATTATACTAGCTTCGTTTTTTGAAGCCTGTTAAGCCATAAAAAAACACTATAAAAGGGGTCACACGGAAGTTCAACGGCAGTCCACAGGTGGCCACAAAACAAACCGTCACGGTCAGGCCGAGCGATCAGCAGCAGGAGAGCATCAACCACCGTCAACATGTGTGAACTACTATGAGGGATCGACCTAGATCCGAAGCCGGCTTATGAACTTTACCACAAGGTAGCTGTCCCAAACCCACACTTTCCTTTTGAAATAAAACAAGTAAATCTATTTCTGCTGTTGTATTTCTTTCTTGCAACCATACGCTTGTCTATAACAGCATCAAGAAGTAAAGATTTAGCACTATCATGGATTCAAACGTTTTTTGGGTTTTTTTTTCTTGTCTCCTTTATCTTTGGCAAATTTAGTTAATCTATGTTTTGATTAATATAGTATTCCCCCAATACAAGAGTCACTCAATGTTCAGGGTTATTATTAAAATGATTATGATGAATAAAATGTGATACGATGCGTGTGATATGAATGAAAGAGCTGGTAAGAAGTGTATTTGGTTGATGTCTATGATTTATCAACCCTTTGCAAGTTATTTAAAAGTAGAAAATATTTTTAGATTTATAAGAATATTTTGGTGGGAGATAATACTGGTTTAGTGATATATGTCTTACTAATTAACCCATACCTGGGGGAAGAAGAGATTCATACCTTTCCCAAGGGTATTTGCATATAAGTGAATGGAAATTGTAACTCAGCTTTAGGATTTTATCTATTGGTATTCAGAGATTTATTTTTTTTATTGTACTACAAGCTGAATATCCTTTATCCAAAATTCCAAAATCTGAAAACCTCCAAAATCCAAAAGTTTTTCAGGTGCTGACATGACTTACCACAAATAGAAAATTTCAGAAAGTAGTGGGAAGATTCCTAGGTGATGTACAGCTGTTGTAAGTGACCTAATCTACCCTGGGTGGGGATTCTCCCAGCCCTGCTATGTAGTCTATATTGGTGCCAGTTTTTGGTTAGTGATCATCACAGCAACACTTTCCTTTATGAATTACTTACCAGATGTTTCAAGCTCAATAAATATTTTATTCAAAATATCAAAAAGTCCTGCATTTATATATTTTTTGTAAGTAGTGATCATGTTATTTTTATACACATACAGAATGTAAAAAACATTATTTTTACTTGAAATCTTAATTTCATCCCTTATAAATCCGTGTGAGCATTGCATTATGAGTGTCATTATTTGTATCTATATGTACATAAAATTTATTAAATTTTGAATAAAACTAATTTCAGGGTATATGTTATTTATATAAAATGATCTTCAGGGTATATGTATAAACAGTGTTATGAAATGTAAAGGGATAACGTGTTTATGATTGGGTTCCATTCCCAAGCTGCCTAATTTTATAGATGCTATATATATATTATGAAATGGACAAAGTCCAACAATTATTTTAATATATTTTCTGTTTATACGTGATGTTTATAAGTAACTGCTCTGTTTATAATAAACAGTATTAACTACATTTACCAGCCTGAATGTCCAAGAAATTTCATAGAAAATACGTGTCCTCCAACAGGAATTGAACCTGTATCCCACACAAAACCAACATTGGGCCTGTCATACTATACCATTTAGCTACAAAGGAAGCATCTGGTTAGCAAAGTCAGAGGACACATATTTTCTATGAAATTTCTTGGACATTCAGGCCAGTAAATGTAGTTAATACTGTTTATTCTAAACAGAGCATTTACTTAAATATTTGTATCTATAAACATAATGTATAAACAGCAAATATATTAAAATAGATGGTATATACAAATTAAATTGCCTGAATCACAAAATCCAAAAAATTCAAAAACCAAAGCACTTCTGGTCCTAAGAATTCTGGATAAAGGATTCTCAGCCTATAGATGTGTATTGTTTTTTGGTTTTTTTTTAAATTTAACCATTTGTTGACAGGGATGTTAATATAAAGAAATGAGTTTATATGTCATATTTATTTCCCTTTTTTTTTTTTTTTTTTTTCATTACTTCACCTGTTAAGTGCCAAATGAAATTAAATATATAATATCCCCTTTTTGAAATTCACACCTTGTCCCCATTTTTTTTTTTTTAAATTTGTTGACAGGGTATATTATGGAATGAGTTTATCCAGTGAGTTTAGCTGTCATATTTATTTCCCTTGGTTTTTTGACTCGGTTTTTTGAATGTTACCAATTATAGGCATTTAAGGCTTCCTATACTTAATACTTCTCAAATTTACTCTCACATGGTCATGTGTGACGTCATGAGCTGCAGTGCAATTTTCACTTCCAGTGTCTTATATGCACGAGTTTATTGTTGGTTAGAAATCTTCCATGTAAACAGAAACACACTATCATCACTGTCCTGTCCGTGTATTGCTTAATATATTGTAATGTAATTGTAATCTTTGATAATGGCTTATGTAAGCTGAAAGCTCAGTTTGGATTAAAAAATATGTATCAATATTGCGATTTTCTTTCTACATTTAATGATAATGTTATTAAGCTTATCAGACGATATGAAAAGAATTTACATAAAATAAATAGACAACACTTGTTTATATTATTTAATGAAATATATATATATATATATATATATATATATATTTCCACACATGAAGGTACTTGACACAATTTTCAGTTGACAATATGAATACAATATCACTTTCTAAATTCTTCTAGTTGCTATGGACATTTTGTTTTATTATTAATAGTTACTTTGTTTTAATAAATTAAATTTCGTTTTTGCCATGAAAATGTCCACATGGGACTAATAATACAGTTTTCCTATTGTCTTTTACTTTTATACATATACGCACACGCACACACATATGGTCACCTTTAATGGCAAGGTTGAAGACAAGGACCCAGACTAAGTCCAGCCAAACCCAAAGATCCCAATGGTGGAACAAGTGGATGATTATTACAACAAATCATAACAGTTGAACTAGTAGATAGAAGGTTACATGTGTGCTACAGAAGGTGTCACTCAAAATTATAAGAGTCAGCAGCAGTTTATTGCAGCTTCATAACTGGATTCTACATGTCTCATTCCATATGAGCCACTGAAGAAGGTCATGAAATCAAGTGTGTGGGTCACTTCCTGGGAAGTTCACCAAATTCATGCCATTGGCACTTTCTTCTACTCTGAATTTCTTTCACCTCCAATCAACTCTTGCAATGGATGATGGGAGCAGGTTTTGGTGAAACTGGAAGCTTCTAGACCTGAACATTGATGATGAATTCAGTCATCAATGCCATCATCATAAAGGAAGCGATCAGCAAAGAAAAAATTAAAAGATTTGGATACAAGATAAAGCTAACGATATTTATATATGAAAAACTAACAACATTTTTTAATTGTTTCTAAATACTTGTTGCAAAATAAAATTCCTTACATTTGTTTTTGATAAAGTCCATTAGAGGATATATATGAAGGCCAATCAAAAAGTATCAGGACTGGTGCTATAAAAAAAAAACTATAATACATATCAATTCCACATTTAATCTCCTTCAAAGTAGTCCCCTTCTGAAGTCACAGACTTTATCCAGCATCGTTTCTATTGATGGAAGAACTCTTGGAACTCATTTTTTTGGAACAGTGAGCAGTTGCCTCGTTGAATTCTCTTGGATTTCCTAGATGTCTTGAAACTTTGTTTTTTTTTCAAATGGGATTTGATTTTTGAAAAGGAAAAAGTTGGAAAAACGCAGGATCTGTGGAATATGGTGGCTGTCATCAACATACTGTCATGAATGGAACACATGTGGTGTGACGAGATGAACACTCTACACACTTTCCTTCCAAGCACTGCTATAAACAACAGAAGCAAGAGAGAATCTCAAAACTTAGTGTGTATGCTTGACAGAGTCCAAAAATCAATCTGCACCAAATGGAGTACTGTTGTCTTGTTTAATTATTCTCACTAATTAATAAAGTTTTTTGTTTTTTTTTCCTTTTCTTATTCTTTTCATGCTCAGCAACTCATTTATTGCCTTGTTTGGGGTGAAATGATTTAATCAGCAAAAAGGATTCAAACAGAAGTATATAGGTTTGCCTATCAACTGGTTCACACTCTTCCTCGGTCTTTTTGAACAGAAGTATGGTTTTATCCCTTGTTTCCTGTTTAGGATTCAGTTTCCAGTTCCTTCAAAAGTCTTCTCATTCTCTTTCATGGGCCAAGAACAAAAATTTTATCTTAGCCCCCACAATCAAAAAGGAAAGAAAATTTATTGAACAGCCTATAAATTTTAAAAAATTATTGAATACCCAATAAAATCCATTCAAAATGATAAATTATTTTAAATAACATCCAATATAAATTAAACAAATATCAGATGAAATTAAAGGTGCCAAGTTGGATGATTTCATTTGAATTTTAAATACTTTATTAACTATTGTCCTTTAAGAGTTTTGACTTATTAAATCCCTTTGAATCCTGATTGAATATGTTGAAAAAATCTGAATATGAGAAGTTAATGCAATTGACATATCTCAAAATCCATTGAATATCAAGTCCTACCAGTTGATTTTATATGAAAGTAAATTAATTTCTCTTTCAAATGATGCCAAATTTAGACTCTTTGGTGCTACTGGATATGAGATATGGCTTTGGAAACCTACAACTTTATAAAAAAAATTTATATTGAATTAATCTGAAAGTTCATTCCAGGTAGGGAAATTTTGACTTGGTCAAAAAATGCTGAAACTTTCATTCTTCAGTAAACAGTTCAATGCAGCAAAGAAATGTCACCATCTTCACCAAAATTCTTGTCATTACCAGAGCAACCATTTTTTTTTTTTTGTTGTCATCAGCATTCCTGCTCTCTTTCAAATTATCCAAGTCACTGCTAAAATTGTTTGTCATGCCAATGTTCATCAGTAAAAGTTTTCTCCTCTGCCAATGCTATTTTCCTCAGGAAGAAATCTCCCCTCAAGCTCTGCTCCCCTTTTGGTATACAATATGGTTCATTGAGTAAAAACAGGCGTGACAAAAATCACAAATTTCTCAAATTTCTACTCTCAGCGCAACACTTTTATAATACCATTTTGTTCAAAGACATTCATTAATTTGATAAATGGCACCTCTATTTAATCATGTGACAAGTGTTGATGTTGTGTATTCAAATACAGTGCTATCCATTCAAGCACTCAACAACTGTAAGCATGTGTAACTTGCAGGTAGATTTGTTTGATTTCAGGCTTAAGGGGACAAAAGAAGTTAAATAAGGAAATACTTACTCTTTTCCGAATAGTTCATAGTTAAATATGATCGTTTGTAAGGTGAATAACACAAACATACTTTAGACGCTGCACGGTATTCACAGTAAGTGATGTTGACAATTGGTTTTAAGATGTGAGTCCCAGTTAAAATGGTTGTCAGGAGGCATAAGATGAAGCCACAAACATTAAGTACCATTGCAATAAATAACTGAAAAAAAAAAAAAAAATGAAGAAATAAAAATTATAAAGATAAGACTCACAAACAAAGCATTTCGCATGGAATATAGAAAAACATTCACAAAATAGTAAATAATAAATAATAATAATAAATAGTAACTAGTAATAATAGTAAATAATACTGAATTCAAGAAGTTTAGTTGTAATCTCACAAAAACAAAACTGTCATGGTTAATGATAATGTTAATCATTTCATGACAAGGAAACATTTGGCATCCATTGTGTGTGTAGCTAGTGTAACTAGAGTTATGCTTTTCTCCACTACCTTGACATCAAGCAGGAATCAAAGTGTAGTATCTGTTCTTATTTCTAATAATAACAACAACAACAACATTACTGATTTCCTTATATGGAAACATTCAACATTTATTGACTGTTCTTTGTGATTCTGTAACACCAGTCCATGAGATTTGAAAGATTCTGTAACACCAGTCCATGAGATTTGAAAGATTCTGTAACACCAGTCCATGAGATTTGAAAGAGAATGGTCCTCTTCAAGTCCTACAGGCTTCATTTGCTCAAAGCTATTTATAACCAATGATCTGAGGAAGCAGTTGTGAACAAGTTTGGCATCATGTGTCATATCCATATGAAAGTCTCTACCTGACTAGGCTATTTAAGAACATGACTAAAGTTCTTAGGTTAATATTTTTGGTTTTGTAGCATCTTTTTTTTTTTTAAATGACAATGATTTTTTCAGATACAAGTCCTACTATTTAACCCATAGCTGAAAAGCAAAAAAGGTCCAGAGAAAAGTAACACACAATCTACCTGGCCAGCTTGAGTGAATGGATGACAGAACAGAGTATGGGAGAGATGGCAAAAGATAAAAGTTATTTCTGCATAAAGAACAGGTGTGACGGTTACACGCCTGGCCCAGTGTCGGATCCTTTGGTTACGGCGCCAACGGTGACGTCGCTCCTCCTGGTCGTTCCTCCTGGGTCCAAGCGTGCCGCTCCAACCCTTTGGTCAGATGATCACCAGCCTCGCCTCTCCCGACTCGCTTCCAACACCTGGTCACTAAAGCAACTATACCGATCTCCGGTCTGTCTACCCACGCTGTGTTTAGATCTTAGACAGACGGGACCAGCAGGGGGCTGGGGCCGATATGAGCTGAGTCCGACGGGGGTGGCAAAACACAACAAAACAAAAAATTCACAACACCAAACAAAATTGCTGATAAAAAAGGGTAACAACCTTTTATATCTCAATGTCTATTACATAAAAAGCAAAATAGTTCTCACTTCCCGACCCGTTCTGTGAACTATGGCACCAAGCTTCTATCACAAAAATAGCAAAAAAAAATGTCGAATTACCTACTTTCTAGAATCATGTATGTATGTCGGAGTGTGGTTCAGTTCGACTTTGGGCTAATTTCTATCGGTCATTCGCAGTTGGTTCTTCTCTTCGACGTGAACTGTATTTTTCTTCTTCTTCTGGTAGATTTTTGTTTAGACTTGGTAGATTTCTTGTTTCAACCCAGTGGAAGATTTCTTGCTTCGATTCAGTGGAAGATTGTTTTTGCTTCAATTCGAGGGTGGAAGATTTCTTGTCTTCAACTTGGGCTCGAAGGATTTCTTGTTTCGAGGAGATCCTTCTTCTGTCGCCCGAGGGTGAACTGCAACTCACGCCCAACCTAACTCCAACTTCAACTCAACTTCAGCTCCAACTGATTTCTGCCGACTGGGGTCCTGCTTATATTGACGCCGCAACAAACCGGGGTGGGTCGGTCGGCGTCAGGGGTTTCTCGATAATTCAAAAGCCGTATTAATTTTGACTTTCCATTATCGTTATTGTTTTCACCCCTACTTTCTCACAGTGCTCTTGGGGGGGCGGCGCATATCTATTTCTCTTAGTCTCTCTCATGTCAGGTGATCGCTCTCAACCAATCGTTCCTGATCGAACCTTTCTTTCTCTTCTTTTCCGCAGCCCACGTGACCGCCTCGTCCAACAGTTATTGATCGAGGTTTTCTTTCCTTCTTCTTCCGCGGTCACGTGATTGTATTCGACCAATTGTTATTGACCGAACACCCTCTCCCTTTTGTTGGCGGGTGTGGTTACATCGTGCTGGTTTTAAAAAAAAACAAAATCCGATTTCGCACCTTTTTTGCACGTACGCAAAATGACAATCCTTGCCTTTCTCTCACCTGGACTTTGTCAAACAGCCCGCTGCTAATTAGTCTTGACTTTTAGAAAGGATCTTTTCCGCCTTCCTGGCGCCCTCCGTGGTCCAAAAACAATTGCTCTTCTTTTTACCTCTTTGTTTTTCCTGATAGCCGAGAATCTTAATTATCTAGGTCGAAATATCTCTACTTTCTTAACGTGGGTGTCCAATTCTTAACAGGTCAATTCCGTATATCGTTTTCACCAGTCACCCCCCCAACCCAAAGACACTTTTTCTCTGACTAAAGTAAAATTCATTTCTATTATTCTAAAGAAAAAAGTTACCTTTCGTTATTTTGATAAGAATTCTTCTACGAAAATGTCGGTCAGAGGTCTCTGACCGCGACCGATATCTCTTTTTTCTATTCTTTCAACAAAAATTAAGGTCAGTCAGAGGCTCTGAAAAACATCTGGTCCACATGTTGGCCTGTTTTGATATCATGTCTTTTCCTTTCTTTCCCTTTTGTTATTATCTTTCCTTTCTTTTTTTTTCCTTTCTTTCTTTTTCCTTGCTTTAGGATCGTTTAGTACATTCTTAGTGAATTATTTTCAACCCAGTTATTTTCCGTTTTAAAGAAAAAAAAATTAACAACCTGTTTAATAAACTGAATAAGAAAAAATTAACTCATATTTCTATGAATATTTCCAATAAATGCAAGGTGCCATACAGGTAATTGTGGAGGGCTATGATCACCAACATTCTGAAGGGGCACTGCACAAAGAAGATTTATGAACATGATTCAAGTTATTAAATTAATATTTTGTAGCATCTTGCAGTCTTAGTTGAGACTATCTTTAGCACAGCCTATTTATTTTATGTTCAATTTTCTTATCTCATATTCTAAATTTGTTATAACCAATCCATACACTGAGGTATTTGAAGTGTTTAGTATTTATTAATTCTACATCCTGAATTACTATGATGAATTCAGTGGACTTGTTATCACTGCTTTCATTCCAATTCTTGATCACAATTTCTGCTTTGAAAAGGTTTAACTCGGGTCCTATTTCTTGGGATACTGTATAGGGGATATTAATTTTTTTTGTTCAAGACCCTTCCTATCCCAACTCTGAACACCAAATTATTTTTATCCCAACACTGAATTAAGTCCATATCTAAGAGTCCAGAGTTTTAAAAAGTTAATTTTGGTTCAATTTACTGCTTTTGATATCATTTAAGATCCTTTCTATCCCTGACTCTGTTTACAGAATTATGAAATTAGGTTAGATACAAATACTAGTAATTTTTTTTTTGCCTTCCATCAGCATGGCTGATGCTAACCTCCAAGATAGTGATTCCTTGTGGCTTCTTAAGCTAATATTTTCTGCTAATGTGGTGGAAAGATTATACTGAATAAATTACTAGGTCTTCTGCTTGGAAAGTTGGTTTACTGCATCATGTTAGACAATTTTTTCACCAAAATGTATCTTACACATCTATAAGTCTACAATTCATCTATGCATTGAATATTATTGCCATGTCTGATCTGGTACTTCTGCTATGTTTTTAGATACTTCATAAAATACAAAGAAGAATCTGCTATGTTATTGGTCATGACCTGGTAAGTCACACTCCCACCACTTTAAAATAGCTTCTCTGTGCCTTTTCTATAAATATTTTCATAGTAATTGTTCTGATGAGCTTTCCTCTTTGGTACCCAAACTTTACAAAATCAAATGCAGTATGAAATTGGCAGTTAGGTCTCATCATGTTATAGTTGAAATGGTTAAATGTAATCGTCAGTTTTATGCTAACAATTTCTATTACACTTCTTGCTTGTGGAATTCTCTTCCATTTTTTTTGCTTTCCAGTCAACTTTGATCTTCAAAAATTTAAATGCAATGTCAATCATTATCTTCCATCTTCTTAATTCATATTCTTTTATTGCTCTCTCTCTTTCTCGCTAATAATGTTTTCTTTGCAAATTTGGGACCTTCATGCCAGCAAAAAAAAGGAGTGTCAAAAGGACTTTTTTTTTCTATTAACACGACTATTATTATAACTACCTTCACTCCTTGGCAATATTTATGGTTTTTAAACTAATACAATTGTATTAAAACTAATGCAATATTTATCATTTACCAATTTATAAAGAAATAAATATGAAAAGATTTTTTTATTCAGAAATTTACAAACATTTACTAAATTATTAAAATATGTGAACCAACTATATAAAAATCCTTATTATTTACCATTTTATAAAGTTTGAATTAATTGGCAATTAGTAAAAGTTTTGCCAACCATTCCAATAAACAATATAATAAATAAATAGTGTTTATTATATTTGTTGTCAATATTCAAAAACGAAAAAAAATGTATAAATTCACTTTCATATGTTTAGGTTTTATTCTAATTATCGCTTTTTAAAACAAACATTGCTGAGGAGTGAAGGTGGTTAAAATAATAGTGGTGTCAAGGGAAAAACTGTCCTTTTAGACAATCCCTTTTTTTGGCCAGCATGAAGGCCCAAGTTTACCATTTTCTTTTTCTCATATTCTCTCATACTTGGAAATCATTTGCATCGTAGTGGCTTTATTGCCTTGCTTGGAATGAAATGATTAAAAAAACATCTTGGTAACAATTAACTTAGCAAATACCTCATCTTCATATATAAAACAGGAGCCTTTTAGAAGTGTGGCATCATGGGATGGGGCAAATAGGAGCAATATTAATATGTGAATAGCTAATGTCCAACATAGCAAGAATTTATTTTATAATTTCATTATGAAAACAGACAAGCACTTTTTTTCCTCCAAAAATTGGGACATCCCAAATTCCCCTTTCAGACCAAACAGTTATGCCTGCAT